ATCATGGGAATCTCTATCACTGTCACCAACATCAACAATTAGTTCTTCTGTTTGTCTGTCTATTACTTGCTCACTGATCTCTATTTTTAAATATTTAACCTACGCCCCTGATAGGAATACTGAAGAATGAGGGCTGCAATCTTTATACCAAAAACTGCCTACTTTTGCCACCGCGCATCCACGCCATTTTAAAATTTCCGCCAGCTTCCAGCGTCAGGCCTGTACGTAAAAACGCATTCGGTGATAGGTCAAATATCTTTGATTTTGGTTGTGACTCTGCAGGATTACGTTTTTGGTAATTGGTAACAAATGGTCCGGAACAAAATTCTGAACAGTTAAAAGGTTTTTTAGTGGCTAACTAAAAATGGGTCTTGAAGCATACGCAAAATAAATCAAGAAAGATATTAGGTCCATTTTTTGGCACTAACATTAAATTGAATTTTCAAAATTACGTTAGTTGCAAATTACATTATGCAAAAACTACTTCACCTATCTTGAACAAATTTTACATTATACGCAGAGATATTTTTATATATATCTCGGTAGGGCTTACGGGTTTTTAGTACTTGCTTGCACAGTAGAATCTCTTTAAGTCGAACCTCGATAAGTCGAAAACCTCCAAAACTCGATAAAATGATTTGTTACCTTCCCTTCAAGCCCCAAACCCTCCATTACTCGAAATATCAATCCTCTATTAGTCGAAATAATCCCTGTAAGCCATTCTGGTACATATTTTCCCTCTATAACTCGAAAAATTATATTGAGCCTCTGGATCTCGAACGAAACAATGTTTTATTTTACAACTCGATAATTTGAAACTTATTACGTCTATAGTTCGGAGAAAACTAAGTTATTGACTTTAAGGATTTGTCGACAATGTAAATACACCAAATCTTAATCTCTACAAGTCGAATCAAAATCCGCCCAAGTCAAAATCCTTCGTAAGTCGAAAACTCTATAACTTCAATTTGTCGGCGTCTCCCTTGATGTTCGAGTTGTAGAGGTTCTACTGTACTACATTTTCATGCTAAGTATCCAATTCCTTTGTTCAGCACGTTGAATTATAAACCCGTTTTTAGACAGTTTTTGTCTATTCTTTAATAAACAAATTAAAACTTTTTAATCTTACTGGCACTATCTTGTAGGATATTGAATGAGGAACAAAAAAGTCTAGCAAAATTTTGTGCTAGGAGGCTTCCACTTCGAGTTATTTATAGAAAAAGAGGCATTTTTAGGTAAATTTTGCAGTTATTAATTTTTCACACAAATTCAAACCAAAATAGTTACTAATTGTTGTTCCGGACCACTTGCTACAAAAGCGTAATTCTACAGAATCNCACTTGGTCAAGTAAAATTAGTTATTTACCTAAAATACCCCTGTAGTTTGCAATTAATTTATTACCAAGTTTAAATACTTCTTCGTTTGTAACGAAATCTCACTTTTTTCCAGGTTCGCACTGCAATACAGCAACCAGGTTTTATAAGGGTGAAAAGGGGTTATAAGCCTCTTAAAGTCGAAAACTTAGTCCACAACATTGCACCTCACGATGATCCTACAGATCCCTTCTTTGGACTACAGTGGTATCTTAAAAATACTGGTCAAAATGGGGGTAAACCAAAATTAGACTTAAATGTTGAAGCAGCTTGGGCACAAGGGGTCACTGGAAAAAATGTCACCACAGCCATTATGGACGATGGTAAGAGTTTTCACATTTATTCAAGTGATTTTGTCTTTATAGGATCAATGTATTTGGAGACACTAATTGATATTAATAAAAGTGCCTAAATACAATAAATTACCTAATATCGAATTAGCCTGAGTCTAAGTTTCGTCGATAAATTCACCATATTGTTTAGATCAAGAGCAACGCGAAGTTCTTTTTCGCTTTTTATCATCGTTAGGGCATCAAGCCTCTCATTTTTAATGGTGGACCTGGTCGAATTTTTAATTATTTTAAGTATATATTTTCTTCTCTTCTCTCTTACCATATGTTCCAACATCCTCTGTATTCTTCTCTCTTCCATAGTCGTATCATTTCTTATATAAACCTTCTCCCCCTAAGCCCCCCCTCTACAATTTCTAATTACCTGTAGCTTATCTTCCCACTTTTCCATTCTTGCCCTATATACCTTCTTTTTAACTTTCCAGACTTCCTTCACATCTACCTTCAATCCCATCTTCTCTTTCGAACTTCGTTTCTTCTTTATTCTTCTCTTATTCTATTCCAAAGATTATCAGGTTCAGTTTTTTCTTCCCTTCTTTTGTTTTCTAGTTCTATTTTTAATCTCCTTATTTCTTTCTTCTTTTCTTCTGCTTACTTCTGTATTTGCTTCTCTATCTCCAGCTTCCCTATTACCAATTCCTTGACTTTTTCTTTTAAGTTGTCCTTTCTTGAACCATCCCTTTCCGCTTACTTCATTATATTTGTTCAATCTTTCTTCCAGTTTCTGTACCTTTCCACTAGTCTTTTTCTCCAGACATTTCATCTTTTCCTTTATACTTTCATTTTCTTCCTGCATTTTATCTAGTTTATGCTCCCATTTTTCCCTTATTTTTTTTTTGTATCTTTCTATTTTTTTGTTTTTTTTATCACGTTGTTTCTATTTTTCTTGGATTTCTTCTTTTAATTCTTTTATCAATTTCATTAACACATCTAATTTGTCCATCTCACTAACATTTTTTTTTATTGTCTCTTTTTTAAGTCCTTCTCCTTCCTCCAGACTGCATGCTTTTCTTATTTTCATTTCCTCCTTTATCTGTCCTCTCTAAACCAACTTTTTATAGGTCCTTTTCGTTCTTCTTTACTTCTACTATTTTCGTCCATAAGTGTAACTCAATAAATTATTCTTTTCCTAAGTCTACTTTCTGGTAAATTTTTCGTTCACTATTGATAATATACAATAATCTTTATCCAAAGTACCCCAAAAAAGACTTAAGGACTCCAATGATCGAAACCACTCGTAATTACTCTCCAACACATACCTAGCAAGTCAAATATTCATTGCCCATCTGTTCACCACACATACACTCAAATTAATGCTATTTTTCCCCTGAAACATAATTCTAGGGTGTGACGATCTCCCACAAACAAGCATACATGAAATTCTTCCATTCCTTTTTCTAACACATGTATTAAGCAAAGTTTTTGTTATTCATATGCAAGTCTTTTTCGCCATGTTTGCTGTTAAAGGGGATGTATTTCTTCGTTTTGGATAAGAAATAGACCAGTCAAACTCAACAATATTCACAATCTATATTATACAGGGTATTATAATTATGAAGGGCTTTATTATTGAGAGTTTATATTGTATTTTATTTAATTTCTTAAACTTGAATAACGTAATTTATGTCTGGTTGTTATTTTTAAGTTTACGTTATCAACATTAAGTAAAGTTAAGTAAGTAAGATTTTACCATAATTCCAAAAGAAGCAAAGCCCGGGCGCTACTTTACCAAAGCAAAGAATCAAAAGATAACCATAAAAAATCAAATTTATCTCGGGAAACTCAGCCAGGGGTTGCAGGAGACTGTTGATTATGAGAAAGCTCGAAGCTCTCTAGCAATGATAAAACAAACAGTAGACTCCACCAAGCAAAATATATTTACACACTTTCTTCTAATTGACAAAAAAAAGGTTGCATGGGGAACAAGAGCTAACTTACGTCAATGTCGGAACCTATTAAGGGGGGCCTCCATCCACATTCT